TTCATGAGGGCTATGGTTGACAGTTTGTCAAGGAAACAATCTGGTTCTATGGCTTTTGTAAAAACGTCCCACTTAGCACTCTGCATAAAGGGACCCCCCGGGGACCTTCAGGTGCTTGGGGCATCATTTATGGGGGTCCCAGGGTGGGTGGGTGGGGCGCTGGGCTCTGGATGGGGAGATGAGTCCCTGGAGGCTTGAAGCCAGCAGCTTTCGCCTGCCCTCTGGTTCCCAGGCAGCAACGTCCCCTAGGTCATGTGGGCTGCAGGGGCGCAGCTGTGACACAGGCCACCCTGTTGCTGAAGAGACGTGACAGGCTGCGCTTGCCTGAGGACCTGTGGCAAGGGGCCTGGAGCCCACGCAGGTCCCAGAGGCGCAGGGCACCGTCGTGCGAAGCTGTGTACAGCACATGGCCGTGCACCTGCAGGGGTGGGCAGGCTGTCAGGCACGGGTCCTCGGAGAAATGCTGGAGGGGCTCCCCTTCCAGGGATGTGAGAAGCAGGGCTCAGGCCAGGCCTACCTGCAGGCAGTTGATGACGAGCGTGTGGCCCCGGAATACCCTCTGCAGTGCTCCTGACTGGGCATCAAAGGCCCTGGCGCAGGCATCCCCGCTGCCTGTGAACACTGTGGGCAGACAGTGGCACATGGACCCTCTCAGCTTCCCAGGCCACCTCCTCCCATGGCGCGACACAAGACAGAGTGGGGCCTCAGAGGGATGCCCCAAGTTTCAATCAGGTCCCCACTCAAGCTCCTCAGGGAAGCTGACCAGGTCCTGGGAGGCTCCTGGTCTTGCGATGTCAGCCCAGCAACCATTTCCCCTTCTCCTGCCTGTGCACAGCCTGAGTGAGCTCCTGGGTGAACATGGCCTCTGACAGGGGTTCATTGGTGCTCTCCTCAGCTCACCTGCCCCCCCAACCCAAGAATTGGGGTCCCAGGAAAGCAGAGTGGCCTCGGGCATTGGGTGAGAGGGCAGAGGGGCAGGAGTAGTCTTAATTGGCTGGCTGCTGCTGAGGGGATGCTGTAGGGACCTCTGTCTTCCATAAGAGGTCCTCACTGGGGAGCAGGGTCACATGGACACCAGAAGAAGGCAAAAATAACCTCTCCACAGCTCATGCCTAAATCCCAAGGGCACACCAGACTGTGTTTACAGAAACCCATTTTATCCCCCAGCACCTTGGCTGTGGGGTCAACTGGAATTTTCCGGGTGATTCTCCCCTCCCCCATTCTCGGGGGACACTCAAGCCTGGGAAGCACTGATTGCTGCTGCTGGGCTCGTGAAAACAGATAGGGAGCAGAGGTGGGGCCCTGGGAGCCACGATCCCATGCTCTGCTGGGGTGGGGCTGCCTCTGGACGGGGGCCACGTCTCGGGTGTAAATGTGTCCAGCAGCAGTTTGAGACAATCCGCCCTTTTTTCTAAAAGAAGCCTAACTCAACTTCCCAGTAATGTCCCCCATGAAAGACCCTGCATAAACCTCTCTCAGGCAGAGTTCTAAGAGATACATGCAAAGGCCTCTCAGTTGGGCTTAAGGAAACCATCTTAATGGGCCCTTCTCAGCTAAGAGATGCATCCCTTTGCCCTTCCGGCCTCTCCTGCCTGCCTAAAACACAGTACAAGCAGCTGACTTGAAACATGAAGCGCAGACGCAGGAGGAAGACTGAGGATGAATGGTGAGACAGAGTGACAGAGGGAGCTGGGTGCCCTACCTCCTAGAGACCAGCCCAAGAGATTTTTTTTTTAACCTCAGAGAAAAATATACACTGCCTCATTTTATGAGACACCTGAATTTTCTCTTATCTGAGGTCAAACCTAGGGCCAAGTGAGGCCAAAAGGACTGCACCTCGAATCTGGCTGGGTTAAAGGGTAGTACAGTCTCCCTGAGAGAGTCAGATGTTCTTGGGACAGGCATTCACCCCAGGACCTCAGAAAATTTGAATCACTATACTTTTTTTATACTGTCAAAACAGCCATACTCCAAGCCTCAGCAGAGGAACAGTTTTTTTCTGAGACAAGGTCTCAGTGTGTAGTCCACACAGCCTTGAACTTACTATGCACCAGGACTTGGGCTCAAATTTGAAGCAGTCCTACCTCAGCTTCCTGAGAGCTGGGAATACAGGTGTGCACTACCATGCCCTGCTTTCGGTTTTCTCCTAGAGGTGGGAGTAGCCCCCCACCATGAGACCATCTCTGAACAGATTCAGAAGGGCCCTGCCTTTGGTTACTATATATCATTTTCTTTTTTTGGAGATCGAACTCAGGTCTTTGTGCTTGCAAGGCAAGCAGCAGAACCACTGAGCTAAATCCCCAGCCCAGGGCCCTGCCTTTGGGACCCTGGATCCGGGATCCCAGCCGAGGCTCAGGGAAAACCACACCCAAGCCTGCAGCCGGAGAGACAGTCACTTACAGGTCCCCGCGTGGAACTTGAGGGCGCTTACGCTGCGGCGGTGGGCGGGGAAGGTGCGCACGCGCTGCCCCGTGTCTGCCAGCCAGCACTTGACGGTCCTGTCGGCGCTGCCCGAGTACAGCAGCTGCTCTGTGAGCTGTGTGGGGATGGATAGGATCGGCCAGGTATCAGCATGGGGAGGCATGTGCGTGCAGATCACAGTGGGGAGTGGGGAGAGCCTGGCCCAAGGCTCCCCCCTCCCCCTTCAGAAATACCGAGCCTGGCTTCTCCTTCCCCACAGCTCAGGATCTGCAGAGCTGAGACAGAGCGGCCACCAGGCTTCACCCTGCCCAGAGCCAAGCCATAGAATCACCCTCTCTGCCCACGGAGGGTGGTGACGCTGGGGGACAGAAAGGGACACCTGGCTCTAGAGGGGCCTCCACGCAGGACTCTAGCTGCAGGGAAAAGGGTCTACCAGGATCAGGAAGACCTGGCTGGCATGGAGGTGCCTTTCTGCTAGAACCGAAGCTGTGCTACCACAGGGTCACTGTTCCCTGCCCAGAGTTCCCCCGGGTCTGTACCCACTGGGAAGGCAGAGAACCTGAGACCGGCTCGCCCTGGCCATCTGAAGTGGCTCAGTCCAGCAGAGGGAGATAAGTCTCTGCTAAGAAAGACAGGTCCTCACCCAGCACCACCCTGGTCAGTGAGTCACAGGGCATTTAGCCAGTGCCAATGATGGCCCAGGATCTCAGAACCCTGGGGCATCTGGGACCAGGAAATAGATGGGGCCCTCAGAACCTTTGTCTGGGGAAAGCCAGTAGTGGGCGTAGTATCCATCCGCGTTGGCCACCAGAATCTTCAGACGTTCTCCAAACCTGTCCATCTCAGCCACATTCTGGGTCGCTTATGGGTCAATGCCCACAGCTAACTCAGTTTCCCCTTAATATTTCCCTGTGCAAACCTTAGAGGCCAGGGTTTTGAGTAACCCAGCTCATTTATTTATGCTGGCCACAGCCCAGGTCCAAGGAGTTAGGTGGCTTTGGGACAATCACTATAGTGGCAGCAGGCTTGTGGGTGTGGTGGGACATGTGGTACATGGTATGGCCTCCAGGAAGCAAGGGCTGCAGGGTAGGTCCCACAGAGTGTCACTGGCATCTCTCAGCCCTGCCCTGGCATCCTACTAGAGTTCCCTGGCATCCTACTAGAGTTCCGGTCGGCTTCTGAACATGTAGCCTCCCTAATTGGTCCACTCCCAAAGGGAGAGATACATGCAACCACCCACCAGCTCCAGTCAGCTCCAGCAGGGTACTAGAGCATGGTTCCTGCCAGCCAAAGGGCCCTTCTTTTTTGTTGTTTTTAAAGACAGGGTCTCTAGGGCTGGGGATTTAGCTCCATGGCACCATGCCTACCTCTCAAGAGCAAGGTCCTCAACTGAGTTGGATCCCCAGTAACACACACACACACACACACACACACACACACACACACACACACGGGGGGAAGTCTCACTGTATAGTTCAGGCTAGCCTTGAATTCCAAGTGATCCTCCTGCCTCAGCTTCCTGAGTGCTAGGATTACAGGCGTGAACCACCACACCTGGATTTTGTGACTTTATTATTTTGAGATAGGATCTTTAAAGAGGTAATTTAATTTAAAATGAAGTCATAAGGGTGGGTCTTAATCCAATCTGATTGATTTCCTGATGAAAAGAGATTAGGACACAGACACACACAGATGACTCATCCACAAGCCAAGGAGAAGCCTCAGGAGCAGCTGGCCTCGCGACACTTTGATCTCTTCACTTCTGGCCTCTGGAACTGAGACAAGGGTTTTGCCCTCTAAGCCCTGCCCGTGGGGCTCTGTTCCCAGCCAGAGCCAGTTGGCACACAGAGGCAGGGCAACTCCAAGGTACACCTGGACCTCCAGGCAGCCTGCAGCTCTCACCTCCAGACAGATGATGGAGCCCTGGTGCTCTCGGAACACCCGAAGCTGCTCCCCACTCAGGATGTCCCAGGCGCGGATGGTGGCGTCGGTGCTGCCTGTGAAGGCCGTGCGGCCGGGCCCATCCAGCACTAGGCATAGCACAGCACCAGTGTGGCCCCGCAGTGTCTGGCGGCAGCAGCCACTGGCCACCTGCCACACCTTGGCTGTGCCATCTGTACTGCCTGTCACCAGGAGACCCCTGGCCTCTGCCTCCTCGGCACAGGAAGTGTCCCAGGGGGCAGAGTAGGCCAAGGTTAGGACGCAGTTGCGGTGGCCCCGAAACTCCCGGGACACCTGCCCCTTGTCCACAGTCCAGACGCGAGCTGTCCGGTCATAGGAGCTGCTGAAGAGTTGGTTGTTGGCAACCAGGATCCTGGAGCAAGAGGTAAAAGGCCGTGGTCAGAGCACAGAGCATTGCTGGAACCCATTCAACCTCCGTGAGCACTGCAGCAAGACAGCCTCCTGCTCTCTGGCTACCCACCACACTTATCTTCCAGGGTCAAGGTCAAAATGTCCTTCAACATGAAGCCTCCCTGATACCCTGGCAGGGACCTCTCCCTGATGGAATCCCCTCCATGTGCTGAGCCCCTGCTGGCCCAGCCCCTACTGCAGCAGGGACCAGGGATCACACCTTGTATCTTTGCTCTGCTATGAAGCACTACAGCTTGTGTCTAGGTGTTCCCGCAAAGCTTCATGGGGTCATAGGGGCACTTGTCACAGTGGCTAGATCTAGTGTGTGGTGCTATGATTAAGAGTGTGATTACTAAATCAGTTCACTGGTTAGTTTTATATAGTTCTGGCTAGGATTAGGGGTGTGAGTGCTATCCCTGCCCTAGGGCAGGTAGCCTGTCTAGAATATAAAGGAAAGAAAGAGGGCTAATGTGCTCTCACCTGCCTGCTTGTCATGGGCTGTTCTCCTCTGTGATGTCCCTCTGCCATGCCACCCTGCCTTGCAGCCAGTCAACCATGGACTGGAACCTCTACAAACTAACCCAAGTAAACTTCTCCTCCTTTAGCTTTGGATATCGGGTATTTTGTCTCGGCAATGAGAAAAGTAACTAAGACAGAAATTTGGTACCAAAAATGGGACCTGACTATACCTGACCATGTGGTTCAGAAGGAACCTTTGGAATTGGCTTTTGGGAAGAGTCTGGAAAGGCTTGGGGATGCCAGCTGGAAAAGCATCCCTGGAACACCGAAGACTGTACTCGATGGGAGATTCTGGTCAGAGCTCAGAAGACTGGAATGCTGATAGAAGGGCCGTGGTAAGTACCAGGCTCTGGAGGTTTCTGCTGTGAAGGACTGTGTTGATTACTGGACTACAGATGATATGTGTTATGTCTTGGCAGAAAGTCTGTCTGCATTTTGCTCATGTCCAGAGACTTTGCCTGAGACTGAGAGTAAAGGCAGCAAACTAATTAATCCTGGAGGATTAATTTCAAGGTGCTTTTAGCCAGATTTATGTTGAGAATCAAGAGCAAAGAGGGCTGGGGATTTAGCTCAGAGGTTCTGCCACCTGCCTTGTAAGCACACGGTTGATCTCTGGAAAAAAAAAAAAAAAAAAAAAAGAGCAAAGAGCTCAGCAGAATGATTCAAAATGTTAGTTTGGCCAGAAAGGAAGTTTTAGTAAAGTTGCAGCCTACAAAGATGGAAGAGAGGAGAAACTGGTCCCTGAAAAGACTTACAAGAAAAATCCAAGTATTTCAGAAGACTTGGAAAAGATAACCTGAGGGCATCACATGAACCAGTAGGACTCCAGCCTTGAATCCTCAGAGTTGCAAAGGTGAAAGACTTTGCTTTGAGAAGAGAGCCCCAGAGCACCACATTCCAGAAAGGTGGCAGCCTAGAGAATCTGTTCCCTTGGGACTGGTTCAGAGTGCTCAGGATCCAGGAACTCGAGCCCTACAGCCAAAAGAGAAGGAATCCTGCCTACTGCTCCAGCTGGTGGCAGACCCAGTGTTGCCCACATGGTGCTGGCTTTAGGTGTATGCAGAATGCAAGAATTGCTGGGCATGATGGCATGTCCCTGTAATCCTAGCACTTAGGAGGCAGAGGCAGGAGGATTGCCACAAGTTCGAGGCTATTCTGGGCTACATAGTGAGTTCAAGGCTGGCCTGAACTACAAAGCAAGACCCTGTCTCAAACAAAACAGAAAACAACTCAGAATGCAAGAGTTGTGGGGTCAAGAAGGCTTCCACTCAGATTTCGGAAGGCCTGCGAGGCAGCATCCCAAGCAGTGTCTCCCTGAAAGGGCAGTGGGTAAAGCTTCAAGTGTGAAGCTGAAGGCACAGTGGAGACCCCAGAAACATGGGCCATCTGAGGAAAGCTGCAAAGAGGGAGCAAAGTCAGTCCCAGCGAGAAGCCACAGGAGCTACAATCACCAGCAGTGCGGTATGGGTGGAGTCACCAGCCCTTTGGAGTTTACAACTCTCACAGATCGCTGGGGACACTGGAAGTGGAACTATGGGACTTAATGTTTGCCCTGATGGATTCTGGATTTGCTTTGGCCCCGTTCCTTTGTGTCTCCCTATTTTTTAAAAATAAAGTTTATTTTATCCCCTAGCCCCCTCCCTATTTGTACCTTTTGGGATGTAAATGTCTGTCGGGTGCCATTGCATGTTGGAAGTGTTTAGCTTTCTTTTCATTTGTACAGGGGCTTGCAGCTAAGAGTTCGCTTTAAATCTCAGCGGAGACTTTGGACTTCTCAGCCATGGTGAAAATACTAGGACTTTGGCAACTCTGGGAGATGGCTTTTGCATAAAGGAAGGTACATGAGTCTTTGGGGGCCACGGAATGTTATGGCCTGTGTCTGGATGTCCCCCCAAAGCCTCATGTGGTCACAGGGGTGCTTTTCACAGGTGGCTGGATCCAGAGTGTCTGGTGATGGGATCAAGGGTGAGTGATTACTAAATCAGTCCACCGATTGGTTTGGCATAGTCTGGCGAGGATTAAGGGCAGGTAGCCTGAACAGGCTATAAGAAAGAAGGTGCTTTCCTCACCTGCCTGCTTGCCATGGACTATTTCTCTTCAGCCACGCCACCCTCCCTCTACAAGTACGAGCCAAATAAACCTTCCTCCTCTCAGCAACAGGAAAGTGACTAAGATGAGGGGAGAGCAGGATGAAAGGGACAGGTGGGGTGGCCACCCCTTCTGGTCTGCCCAGGTTTCTGAGAATAAAGGGCTTTCCAATGAAAACCGGGAAATTCCAGGGCTAAATGAGACCAGCTGGCCACCGTGGGAATGGCTCTGACCCACTGGCTGGCAGAGGCATTTCCGAGAGGGCGGTAAGGAATTCGAGCCTTTCCTGTCTCGTGGCTCTGGTGTGTCCCCCTGGGTGACAGGAGGCAAAGCTACAATGGTGGGGTGGACTCTGCTATCAACTCACAGGGTGACCACCACACAGGTGAGGCTGAACTGGCTGGGGCTAGGGAACTGTTGGGTGGAAGGCCAGGAGGATCCCTCGATTCCTTGAGTTGGCTGAGCTCAGGCCCAGGCCTTCTAGGCAGGAAATATTCATGACTTCTCATTTTACCAAACTCTGTAAATTTCTCCTCAGGAAAACAGGAAGCATGTTCACCTTTAGTACAGAACTTCAAAGGCTGTTTGCGCTCCCTTGTTAGGCCCCACACCCGGGGGACAAGGCTGCCCAGGGCCTGGTCAGGCTGCAGCTGGACTGGGTTGCCTCCCTGCTGGTTCGCTGCCCAGACCAGGACTGGCGATGGCCTCTGCTCCTCCCAGGAAGCCTTGAGCCTGGCGTCCTTTCCTACAAGTGACAACCTGACAACTACACGAAAATCCGACTCCCCTGACAGGCTTCTTCCCTGGGCCATGAAGTAGATGTAGGGTTTTTCCTTTTTGCAGTTCTGGGGATGGAACCCAGAGCCACGTGCGTGCACACACACACACACACACACAAGGCAAGCTCACTACCAGGGGACCACGCCCCAGACCCAGGTGTGGATTGTGCAAGTGATGTTTTGGGAAGGCTTTGGGGAATGGGGATGGTGGCTGAATCCTGCCAAGGTGTGACATGGTGTGATGGTTGGATGTAGGTCACTAAAGGATCAGTGTCCCCAAACTCACCTTCCTGGCCATCTCAGAAACAGGAGGAAGTGAGTTCCAGGTCCCCACAGTGGAACTCAGCTATTTCATGGTGCCAGTGTGTGTGTGCTCAGAGCTGTGGGCTGAGACATCCATGGATGGAAGATAGTATCTGTACAGTGTGTGTGTGTGCACAGGTGTGCACTGTACAAGTGTATATGTGTGCATGCATCATGCTGTGATTGTGTGTTTGTGAGCTGTGTACATGCTGTATGTATGGGTGACGTGCTATGTACTTGTGTATGAGTGCATTTCTCTTGTTTATGTGCACACATTGTGTGCATACTTTTTTTTGGTGGGGGAGACAGGGTCTCACTCTGTAGTTGAGACTGCCCTGGAACTCACTATGTAGCCCAGGCTGGTATCGAACTCACAGATCCTCCTGCCTCAGCCTCCCAAGTGCTGGGATTACAGGTACGGGATACTACGCCTGGGTTTTTTTTTTTGTTTTTTTTTTTGGTACCAGGGATCGACGAACTCAGGTCCTTGTGCTTGCAAGGCAGGCAGTGTAACCACTGAGCTAAACCCTTGGCCCTGAATACATGTTTATTTATTTACTTTTTTTTGTGTATGTGGTACTGGGGATAGAACTTGGGACCTTGCGCTTATGAAGCAGGTGGTGGAACCACTGAGCAAAATCCCCCATCCATGCATACATGTTTAAACTGTTTGTATGCACCTTGGAGAATAAACCTGGCAAAGTGTAATTTCTGTTTGTTTATTTGTTTGGGGGCTTTTTTTTGAGACAGGGTCTCGCTATGTAGTTGAGATTGACCTGGAACTCACTATGTAGCCCAGGCTGGTCTCAAACTCCCATCGATCCACCTGGCAAAGTGTAATTTCAACTCTGAATCACCCATTTCTACTTCTGAAAAGCAGGTGACAGTAGTCCAGACTGTCCGTGAACTCACAGCAATATTCCTGCCTCAGCCTCCTGAGTGCTGGGATTACCACCATGCCCGGTCTGTCTCTAAGGCCCACCAGCAGCCCTGGGTTTGGCACATCCTCATGTTTGTACCTGCTCAGCCCAGCCCTAGGGCTCTCCCCAGGCACAGCCCTTCTGCCAACGTGGCTATTAGGAACCCTTGGGAGCCTGGGGAAACCATCACAGGTCGTGCAGTGTCAAACGGATCTGATCAGCAGAGGCATTTGCAAGACCTGGCTCCACCCCAAACTCAATAAGGGAAGGAAAATCTAAGCCTAGAGGAGGAGGTGGGGTGCTTTCCACAGCTGTGTGTGAAGAGAGGCTTATAGACACTTTCAACCGCATCTGCAGGACAGTCTCCCCCCGCAAACTGAGTCTACCCTCGGGTACCAATCTGCAGCCCCCCTGGAAGTGTCCCCACCAGTAGGCAGGGTAGCTCTCCCTGCACCCAGGAGGGGCAAGCGTGGTGCCAGGCTCCCAGTGGGTGTGTCTGGCCCGACTCCTCCTCCCCCCCCCTCCCAGACCTCCACGCGGCCCCCGGCACCTAGCACTTGGGCCTGGGGACACTTCTGTCCTGGGTCTCAGGTCACTGTGTGCTACCTCCCACTTACTGAGTTTCCCCAGGAACCCACATTTCTGGCCTCTGTCCCCCTCTGCCCGGCCAGGAGCCCTGCCCGCCAGGCCAACCTGTTGACAATGGACGTGTGTCCCCGGTACACCTGCGCACACTGGCCGGTGTGCACATCCCACCGCCGGATGGTGCAATCAGCACTGCAGGTGAAAGCGGCTCCGTCCTCCAGCTGGCAGAAGGTCACGTAGCTCTCGTGCCCTGCAGGTGAGGGGACCTATGAGTGGCCCCCCAGGGGCGACGCCAGCTCCTGTTTTCTTCTGGGAAGAAGATTTGGAAGGACAGGGGAGAGAGAAGGGCCAGGTGGCAGGACAGGCAAGTTTTTAGTTGGAAGTGTGGGTCTCGGACCCCAGGTGCACCGGGAACAGTGCAGGGAGCTTACCTGCCCCCCAAACCCGTTCACTCCCTCTCCCATGCTCTCCTTTCTTCGCCCTTTCGTCGTCTCTTTTCTTTTGCTTGAATGTTTAGTTTTTTTGAGACAGGGTCCAGCCTTGAACTAACCTGGCCTCACAGTGATCCTCCTGCCTCAGCCTCCCAACTGCTGGGATTACTGGCATGCACCACTGTACCTGGCATCTCCTTTTAGTCTTCCACATACTTGTAGCTCTTTGTGCTCAGCAAACCCAACGTTATGGAGGTAGGACAGGGGGTGGCTGGGCAGGACCTTGGTGCTGCTATTGCCTGGGTTCATTCTGCCTCTTCTCCCCATGCAACTTGTCCCTCACTTGGAATGGGGACATGGACAATCCCCAAGGCACAGGTCATCATGTAGTTACAGTGGAAACCACCTGGTGGATGCTGTGTGTTAGCTACTTCTCTTATGCTCAAGCAGAAACACTGCAGTGGGGAGACAGCAGCTGTCAGGTCCTGGGCAGTTACAGGGCTGCCAACGTCACCTTACTCAGAAAAGGTACATCACAGAAATGACCAAGGTGAGAGTACTGATGGAAGACAGCCCGGACTGCACAGATGGGCACTAAACGGATACGTCAACCTTCAACAACTGGGCAAGATTAAGCTGTATGGGCTAGGGATTTAGCTCAGTGGTTCTACCACCTGCCTCAAAAGCACGAGGTCCTGAGTTTAATCCCCAGTACCAAAAAAAAAGAATGAGCTGTAGTTGCTTCAAGGCACCAAGCGTTCCAATGATGGGAACATGGGACACAGGGAGACACTGAGGATTCCTCTCACCTTCTGAGGACCTAGCCCAACCATAAAGAGTCAGCAGGAGGGGCCTGCAGTTACAAGGCCAGGCATCTTCAGGGGACACTGAGGATGGGGCGTTTCTAGCAGGGGAGGGGAGAGTCAAGGAGGTGCACGCTGGAGACTTAGGGAACCTCTCAAGCCAGGTGGTTGGTGCTACACAGAAATGAGGCTGGGGTCCAAGGGCAGAGGGCCACGCTGGGTCAGAGTTGGGGCGTGCACACCTGCTTGGTGTCAAGCTGGCCCTGTCAGCCATCACCTTCCAGGGCAGATGCTGTATCTTTTGCCAATCACAGTTGTGGCAGTGTTTTTGTCTGGAATGTGATCAAACAGCCCTGGAAGCCCTCAGGGTCTTGGATCCAGTTGGGCTTGACCTCCAGGGAAAGATGTCTCACCTGGGAGAAGAACTTTTGACACTGAATACATCTTCGAGGAATTCAGAAAGCACAAAACCAAGAGAAGCAAAGGAATCTGGAAATATTTTTACAGAAGTGGAAACCGATGAATTCAAACACCCACATAACTGGCAGGCCGTATTATTGCATTAAGGATCTTGTTTTAAAGACTTTTTGATCTTAAATTAAATCAAGAAGAGCACTTAAGAGTGAGGTGTGGCTGATCAATGGCACCTCACTCAGTGGAACTATGGCCACCAAGCTAGGGCTGCCGACCGTCAGAGATGTGGGCATTTCAATCTTATTTTAAATCTCAGCCAGGAGTCGTGGCAATGCTTTTAATCCCAGTACTCTGGGAGGCTAAGGCAGGAGGATCAAAGGTTCTAGCCCAGACTTGATAACTTAGTAGGACTCTGTCTCAAAACGAAACAAAACAAAACAAAAACTACCAAAAAAGGGCTAGTGAAGTAGCTCAGTACAAAGGCCCTAGGTTCAATCCCCAGTACCACCAAAACCATCATCATCATTATTGTTAACACTGTCATCTCATTTAGGTTGCTAATGTCAGGTGGACAAGGATTTCAGACTCTCCTAGGTTCTGTGAAACTGATTCATCTTTTATTTTTGCTCTGGGCTTCAGCTTACTTAACTTTTGGATGAACTCGACCTCCTGGGTTCTCAAAACCCCAATTAAAAAAAAAAAAGAAAAGCTTTTGTCGTTTGGAGAGCACACACACACCAGGCTGTTCTGAAAACAATGTAAGAATTAAGTAAACACTTGAAGAAATGGCAGATTATGTTTCTCTTAAAATACACGTTGGTGTAAAAGTTAAGGGCAAAATATGTTTGGTAAAACACAGCCAGGATTTTTGCCCAAGGAGTTTATAAAATATTTTAAGGCTGTCAACATTCTTGCTTTGAGACCAGATCGGTCCCCATCCTCCCTGCTGCCACTGCGGTGAGGGCAACCGGAGCACAGAGCCCAAGGAAGAGCCACCCCAAGTCCCCAGAGTGCCGGGGACGCCCAGGATGGGGGCAGCAGGGCCAAGGAGCCTGCAGAGGCGGCCCCTCCCCTGCCACTTGAGAACCTTCTGCCACAGCTGGCTGAGGCCAAGAGAGTCTGGTCCAGCTGCACCAGCTGTTCTGTCCCTCCACGTGGCAGAAAGGTAAAATGGAGGAGTGAGGGGTAAATTAAACCGAAAAAAGCGAGTGAGTGTAGCCAGTGAGCAACAGATGCACCTCTACTTTCTAGAACCAAAGCGGCCAACCACCAATGGGAGCTGCTTCACGTTAGGGGTAAGGAAAACAAGGATATAGACACAGCTCACAAATCCCTAAACATGAAAATGCACATAAAGACTGAGAGAAAGAGGCGATGATAAACAAAAGTCAAAGGCTTTGATTCAGTTTTGTTTTTGTTTTTTTTGCAGGGCTGGGCGCTCAGCCACAAAGCCATACCCCAGATCCTAGGTTTTTCAACGCACCAAGCCTTGTCTCTGAACCTGAGCCAGGCTGGCCTGAGGTCCCCTGCCCTCTGCCATCTATCCAGGAACTGAGGCCCTCTGTTCTCAAGCGCTCTGGCCCCTTTAGAAAGTGGCCTCACTGTGATCCAGGGTGGAGCAGCAGCAGAGGGACTGGAACTCTGCCAAGCGCTCCCCTCTCCAGTGCCACCGCACAGCATGGCCGTGACCCCATGACCTGTGTTCTGCAGAATCTCAGACAGGTCAGGCCCAGGGTTCACGGGCCATCTGGAGAGCGGGAGGAGCCACAGCCCCAGAGCCCAGAGCCTGCCACACCTCGGGGGAGCACTGCACCTTGGCCTTCAGCTGTTAGTTGTGCAGAGTAAGCAGAAATGTAAAACTGAAATATTTTCAAAGGAATGAAGAATGCAGATAAGATGCAGTTATGTTCAGAAGAACAGACTGAGACTCCAGGATTGCTTGCCAAGGATTCAGTCCTTCCCCTCCCTGCGCCCTGAGGGCTGCAGGGCGGGGTCACACCGTGCCTGCCCTTCCAGGAAAGGCAGCTTAGGGGGCCTAGGCCATGGGTGATCCCCAAGGGGAGCATGTCTTGGATAGCCTGCCCTCTCTGGGTCCCAGCGCTGAGGCAGCCAGCTGTTCCCACAGCCAGGAGGGATGGTCAAAATGTATGGTGAAGAGATTTATTACAGCACAAGACACACTCATTAATTCCTCCTCGCTCCGAACGCGCTGATCCCGTCATCATCCTGGCCACTTCCTCAGCAGTCCTTGAAGTGCTCCTTCCTGGGTGTCTGCGCAGGTAACAGCTCAGTGAGTGCTGCCACTGAGCGCCATCCGATGGAAAGGCAGGCTCATAAAAACATGTCCCTGGGGCCAAGTGTGATGGCACCTCCCCATAATACCAGCACTCCGGAGGCTGAGGCAAGAGGATCACCTCGAGTTCGAGGCAAGCCTGAACTACATAACAAGACCCTGCCTCAAAAAAAAGACGATGATGTGTCCGCATCCACCACAGTCACTGGATCTGGCACTGTGCCATCTCTGGTCACAGAGTGACCATGGAAGGTGAATGTTTTGAATCAGTTCTGGACTTCAAGGCAGCCACAATAGTGAATTAAAGATTCTCAGGAAAGGACTTCCAGAGCTGCTTCAGAAACTAGCAAGAGTGGGCCGGGGATTTAGCTCAGTGGTTCTGTTGCCTGCCTCGCAATCAAAAGGTCCCAAGTTCAACCCACGGTACCAAAAAAAAAAAAGAAAGTAGTAAGAGTGATAGGATGAGTGTGCTCAAAGGGAAGAGGAACATTTTGAGGGGATTCATCACAGTGTGTCTTTTATTGCCGTAATTTAAAAAATTTAAACATTGGCCATGTGCTTTGATCACACTGCGTGCATGGTGACAGGGATGGCCACTTGTTTTGGGATTTCCCCAACCCTTGTAGCACATGGGAAGCATTGTCCTGGCCACCTGACCCTGCTGTCCACACCAGCCTGTCCCTCACCGGCCCTGTTCCTGGTCCCCACTGCATGGACTGCAGGCACTACTCCTGGTCTTCCCACTTCTGGGTGGATTCTGACGACAGCCCACAGGGAGATTTTGGTCAGGATTCCACCCTTCTCTAACCCAGAGGGCTATTCAGGCTCACTGTGCATCCAGTGAAGGTCACTATGTCCTCAAAGGAGCCCTCTTGGCACAGCTGTCTCCAAGATTCAGTGACCATGGCCCTGGGAGAGATGACAGCCCTGCTGGTTCTATCCTCTGCCCACTCTGCAGTGCCCCCTCTTTGACCCTCCCCAGCGACCTGCTTGGTAGGCAATGCAGCAGGAAGCACTGAACCTGTGGCAGACCTGACAAGGGCTATAGCTGGGGCTCCCTGGACCTCTGTCCCCAGCCTCCTGTCACCCACATGTCGTAAAATGGTCCACTCCTTCTGGCACATTCTCTGGCCAAGTGGCACCACAGAGGGCACTCCATGCCCCACAGCTGAGGATACCCCTGGGCCCTAAGCCTGTCCAAATACAACCCTGGCTCACGGGACACATGAGAGACCAAGGACACTACAGAGGCAGCCACGGTGGGCTGGGATCTTTGGGTTGAGCCCTTACTGAACCAGAACTGAACAGAACAGGCCCTGCCATTTGAGGAAGCATTGCACGTCTCAGTGACCCACAGAATGAGATACCCACTGGGTGTCTCTCACTGTAATAATTTTTTAAAATTTAAACATTCCCCATATTTTAATCATGCTACATACATGGTGACAGGCATGGGACCATGCTCTTGGCATTACTCTGACCCCTGTGGCACAGGGGAACAGCTGTCCAGGCCAGGGAGGCCAAGGGATAATTATAGCCTAAGCAGTTCTTTATGGAATAACCCGCAATTAAGCCTTCTTTCTCTGCTGGGACTTCACCAGCTGCATCTGAAAGCCCATTCTGATTCATAAATGAAGCGGGCAGCCCTGGCACCCGGGTGACAATTCTACAGCTGTCCCAGAGCCCCCTAGAGTATCCATTCACAGCAGGCAGCCCCTGTCCTGTCTCCATTCCTCCCATCCCTTGGCCCAAACTTCCAAGCTTCTGGTCTCCACTCTGCCTGCACTGTGGTGAGGAGGAAAAGCTCTGGGCAGAGGCGCCAACCCCAACCATTCTTCTCAGGAAATGAGGACTGAGCCAGCAATTGGCTTACAGAAAGATGCCCATGAGGCCTAGGGGTCAGGGCTCCTCTGGCTGGCCATGTGGCCTGGGTACAACGAGTGCAAGCAGCAGCCACACAGCAGGACAAAGCCCTCTCTGCCATCTATCAGCCTGAGACCTTGGACAAGTCCTACAAGGGGAACCTCAGGGGACTCTAAGCCCCCCCCCCCACACTGGGCCAATGAATGTCTAGAAATCAGGATGTTCTGTGTTGGTAAATAAGTCTATGCCTCCTGGTTCTCATCCATAATCCTGATGTGGGTCACATCTGCCCCCCCAGGATTAACCACATAATAAAGATGCACAGAGATGCATATCTATTGGACATACAGTACTACACAGATGTTAAGACATCTTATTAAATTTCACTGGAACAAAAAAAGCCCCTCCAGGAGGAAGGAATTGGCAACATCTTGCTTTGGAAAGGGAGCACACAAAAGGACTGTCACACACCCACAGTGCTTCCTGCAAGTGAAGTCTATAAGCAGAATGTCCAAATAAAGAAAGGATTCCTTTGTCCTCTCTGTTCTTGAAAGTTTTTCTGGTTTGTTTGTTTTGTTTTTTGAGACACTATCTTGCTATGTAGTTTCGACTGGCCTTGAACTCACTATGCAGCCCAGGCTGTCCTTGCACTCCTCCTGCCTCAGCCTCCTAAATGCTGGGACTACAGGTGTGTGCCTTGAAAGTTTTGAAATGCCACCTGTGTAAGCACAGACTCAATTCTGGCAGTAATAGGAAGCAGTTCTTCAACACATTTCTGCTGGAGTGGGGAGGGCCCTCCGGGGAGGCCAGGCACCCCAGGTGTCAGTGCCTTAAGTGGACAGATGGCTAGGCTGTGACAGCCCCAAAATGGAGTGGAGTCTTGGATGGCAGACACATTGCCATGGCTTGGTCAGGCTGCCCTGGGACAAGCCCGTGCCCACCTATAAGAAGCAGCCTGGACAAGGCATAGCTTAACTGGGGCACTGAGGCTCCCATAGGGGCCCCACAGCTCCTTGGGGTTGGCTGTGTGTCAGAGCCCCTGAAAGCCTCTTCCAAATGCTACTTCTAGGATTCTCAGGGGAATCCATGGAGTTCAGCCCCAAGTATCTGCATTTCTTTCTTTTTTGAGGGTTTTTTTGAGACAGGGTCTCACTATGTGTTTGAGACTGACCTGGAACTCACTATGTAGCCCAGGCTGGTCTTAACTCACAGCGATCCTCCTGCCTCAGCCTCCCGAGTGCTGGGATTACAGGCGTGTGCCACCACACCTGGCGGAAATCTGAAACACACTCCAAATAGTCATGTTTGGGAAGCATACATGAGGCACCGAAGCTTTCTAAATGACCTCAGCTCTTACGGGCTCCGTCAGAGCATGTGGCTGTTTAGGGAGGACGGAGGGCCATGTGTTATTTGTGACCAACTCTCCATTATCCACCCCAACTCTCAAGTGACCAGTAATCCACATCCACCCCCAGTGGACTCTGAGACATCTACCCTAACTGTGCTCTGCCTGAGTGCAGTAGTGCTGGATCAACTGAAGCTGAGGCCAATGTCCTGTCTTAGTTGAAAAGGCTGAGCGTGGCCACCCGGGATTTGCTAATTGTGGCAGAAACACCAGCACTCAAATAAAGAGCTACATCGTGCAGAGAGCTCTCCTCACCAAGAGGCCACAGTGCAGGGGCTGGGGCTGGGGCTGGGCTGGGAGGGACCTCAGGGGAGCATACACTGGAGAGGCCTGGGCAGGAAGTACCTGGAGTCACACTCTCCACAGAATAAAAATGCAAATATAAATCAAACACGTGTACAAGGTCTTCACGCAACTATGGCAACCCTTGGCCACTTGATAGAAACAGCTCTGATAAAACAGACCTAACACCCCACACACACTTAAGGGCGACCCACCAACATCCCTTCCCTTCACAGCAGCAGCAGAGGTGGGCCAGGGTGGTGGCTAGAGACAGTGGAGGAATGTACTCTTTACTCACCCTCACGGGTTGAGGCTGAGAGCCCCGGGCAAGTTACCGAACCCTGAGCCTGTATGTAAGGTGATACGCTAAAAGGACACATTGGGGCCGCGGATTCAGCTCAGCGGTGTGGCCACCTGCCTCGCAAGAGCAAGGTCCTGAGTTCGATCCCCCGTACAAAAAATAAATAAATAAATGAAAGGACACACTGATCACAGCACCACCACCCCAACACGTTCCTCTTGTTCACCCTATGGACCCAAACAGGAACTGTCATCACAGGTCACCACATCAACGAATTATATAGTCAAGGTTTGCTTAGATGGAGTTTAGGTACGACTTTTTAAAATTTGCTGAAATTGGTGTGGTGATGACTTCATGCAGCGAGTTGACAAAGGACCTTGCCTTGGCGGCGGCGTCCCTCCGCCCCCCGCCCCGCCCGCACCCGCGGACCCACCTGAACCTCAGCACCCATTCCGGCCCAGTTCCCCACCTCCTCCTTCTGCCGCGCCCTGGGCACACAGGGACACAGGGGTCGGACGCTCCCCAGGGTTCCGCGAAGGGCAAAGCTGGATTCTGGTAAGGGGTCGGCGGGCAGGATTGCTGGGGTCCCGGGTCTGGCGCAGGTGGGCGCGCGGCTAGGAGGCCCGGAGGGTCGCGAGCAGCTGTACCTTGCAGGAGCGCG